AGCTAAAGCAAGGCCTTAGAAGAATGGCAAGATATATGGGGCAAAGCCAAGATTAGTGACCACTATAAGCAATTTAAAATGCAGCCTAGGTGGAAACCTAGCCCATTAAAGCTGACTAAGCAACTGTGGTCATCTATTATTCAGCTAAAACTAGGTCATGGGTATTTTAGGTCATACCTAGTCAGGCTACCTGCATATAATAGTGGAACATGCAATCTATGCCAAACCAATCAGGAGCAGACCCCATATCACCTACTATTCCATTGCCCAGCCTATAGAGATGTCAGATATAGAGCATTCTCTAGGGTAGATAGAAAAGATTATAATCTTTTCTATCTCTTTTCTAAGGACGGCCAAGAAAGTTTAGTTGAATTCCTAAAGGAGACAAAAATAGCCACTAGGAAGTGGCACATAGGAGCTAATGATTAAGCAAGAACCCTACTACCTAGTCTAACCCATAGAACCAGGCTTACTAGGCATAGATTATCTAATCATGCTTATTAAGCCACCTCTCCTATCCTGACTCCCTTTTTTTTTTTCTGTTCTTTCTCTCATTTCTTTTTCTTTGTTAAATCCACCTATACCTACTGTTCCTTAACATTTGATTCTTACATTATACTACAGCCTGTCTCTCATTCCCTATTTCTGTCCCTCATAGAAGGTTCCCACTGTTGACTGGTCTATAGCATAACCCACCTGTATATAGATATTAGCTACTAAGCCCTACTGCCTAGGTGGTAGGCAGAGCGTGCATAGTCTCTGACTGAAAACGCTCTCTAAAATGGAAGATAATAATAATAATAATAATAATAAGAATAGGGCTACTAGTAAGCATAAAATATATCCAATATAGATTTAGAGCTTTAGTATTTAAACTAGCCTAATTAGTATTAGTATAGCTATAAGCTATTACATCCTATATAAAAGATAAAAAGATTATAAGTTATAATAAGGTAGTAAAAGACCCATTTAATAGCTAATTTATATTAAAAGCTAAGGTTAGAGAGATAAGAAGAAAGAATAGAGACTATATATAACATTAATATAAGTATAGATAATAAGCTAAATTAAGCTTTTAATAGTAGACTAATACTAGGCAATATTATCTTTAGAGGCCTTACTATTATAAGGGAGAAGTTTAGACTTTTTATTTATTAGAGTTATTATATAATTATAGGATTCTAGTTATATTAAAGTACTTGTTACGCGCTGGGTCCAACCGTAGTCGTCGATACTTAACGATGGTGGTTAGGGAAGGATCAAGGAGTCTTCCTGACTCTATGTCGTTCACGAGCACGCGACGATCTAACCGATCCGGGTCTCCTTCTTCGAGACAACGGCCTACCTGGCGAAGGGCTCTTCCTCGAACGACCTCTCACAAGCAAAGGGGTCTCGCAAAGGTGCACGATAAGGGTTCTTCAGATGGACAGATGACAACGACTAGGTCAGAGGCAACGCCTACTAGAGCTATACCGAAGTATACCACTAGTAGTAAGAAGTCTTACTGACCCCCAAAGCAAGTATCTTAGTAACTCAGGTTGAATGGATTGAATTGAGCGCGAGTAAGGAAAGACTAGATACATGAGATTGAGCCCCCTTTTATAACTTCTGTTTTGGTCCTCCATCTCCTTCCTTCTGTCGGTCCTTGTTGGACCTTCTTCTCATGGTCCATACTGGACCTCCCTTCCACGGTCCTTGTTGGACTCCTCTGCTTATCTTATCAATGGACCTTCCTAAATCACGTGACCTTGTATGCCTAATCCTGTCAATCTTGCGGGGTAGTGTTTCATCCTGTGTTGCTGTGTTGGACAGCGCTCCGTTCTGTTGGTTCGTAACAGTACTTTAGGATTTATATTATATATTTAGATTATAAGAGATAGATCCCTTAAGAAATAAACTTAACTCCTATATTAAGATAGTAAGAGATAATACTATTATTAATAATATTAAAGTACTTTTCTAAGAAGGCAAGGAGGTTATTAATATAGATAAGATTCTCTTTTATATAGATAGTATAATTAGTATATATTTAAATGAATCTAAGTAAGGCAAGGAAGTTATAGATAATTAAATACTATTCTTATAAGTTAAGGACTATTTAAGATTACATAAAGTCCTAAATAGTTAGCCTATTTTACTAGGGACCTTATAGCTATTAGGGAGGTAAATAAAGATAACTTTTTTTTAAATTACTATTAAAGAAGGCTATAATAAAGTTAAAATAATAGATATATTAGCTAAGTTTTATAGTAAGTGTAAGGAAGATCTTTAGGCTTATACGCTTTATAATAGTAGTATAGACTTTATAGAAATTATAACCTTTTTTTTCTATTTAAAGCCATTAATAACTAGATAGGCTTTATATTTACTATTAGCTTTTATATAAAAGACCTAATATAGTAATAAGAGTATTATATCTAAGATAAAATTAATAACCTAAGTACTATATTATAGTTATTACTTAATTTCTAGGTATATAGTTAATTACGACTTAAGGTTTTTTATAGCCGTATTATAGGTCTTAAGTAGGGAGGAATCAAGGGGTTTAGGGGGGTTAGAAAATTAAGAGAGCCTTAAAGATTAATAACAAAGATCATTAGTAAATAATTAATTAAAAAAAAAGAAAGAGTTCTAAAATTTAGGGTCTTCTTTAAGAAGAGTAGTAGAGCCTTATATAGCTTTAATAATATAACAAGATAGTTTCTAGATATATATAGAGTAATAAAGTAATAGATTATCATTAGTATTAGAATCTTTAGGTAATTATTATATATCTAGTAATAGAGCAATTAATATAGAGCTATCTAATAGTTTATCTATAGGTTTAATATAACAGAAGGTAAGCAAATGTAGTTATCTTATTTACTTTATTAGCTAGTTAGGCTTCTATTAAATTAGTAGGTGATTTATTTATAAATATAGATAATATAGGGTTAGTAATAATATAGGGCAGGGTAGTATTAAGGAAATTACCTAGGGTATAATAAAGATAAAGCTAATTAATTTGCTCTTAGGGAATTATATTTAGTAAGTTTATAGTAAGGTTAAGATTATACTTGACTATTAATAGAGGTAGGTTATTAGTATTTAATTCCTAAAAGATATTATAACAGGTAATAATCTATTTTAAGTAGATATTATAGAGCTTATAGATACTATTAAGTACTATATAATAAGTTAGTACTATATCTTATATAGTACTTAATAATATATAAAGCCAGCTTTCTTTTCTAATTATCGTTAGGGATATAAGCCTAGTATTTATAGCTAAGTACTTAGAAATAAAAGAGATTAGGCTAATATCTATATAAGGCCTTATAAGGGGTTTTGCTAATCTTAATAAAGATTAAAATAGTTAGCTTAAAGAGATAATAATTTTTAATCTTAATAATACTATTAAACTATAAAGTATCTAGTAAAGATATCTAGAATAGGGTTACTTAAGAGTACCTTTTATAAGAATAATCCTAGTAGCTATATCTATAAGTTATTTAATATAGGCTTTAGAAGCATAAATAATATAATAATATATATATAAGTTTAATAGATATTAGTTTAGGTTTAGCTTTAGAGAGGGAGGAAGCAGCAATAATATTAAGGACTTTAAAAGGTTATACTATTATAAGCTTATAAGCAGAGAGTTTAAGGCTTTTTAAGGTAGATAAGGCTATTTAGAGATAGTAGTAGTTTCTAATATAATTAATATAGGCTTTAAGGTAGCTATTAGATAGTAAGGTTATATTATTCTTATAGAATATAGTAGATATACTATATAGTATAAGTTATTAGATTAAAAGCAGATTATATATAAAGGTTAGAGCCAGCTAGGCATTAATAAGATAGATCTTACTAAGTCCTAGGCAGTAAGGTTGAAGATAATATTATTATATCTTTAGTATAGAAGACTTAATTAGTTATAGTAGTAATTAATATTATCTTAAGGGTAAAGTTTATAAAGAGGTTATATTACTATATTCTATAATAGGAGGATCTAGAATCTAGTATCTAATAATCTAAGAAATCATCCTTATCTACTAAAAAGTAGAGGCTTCTCTAGCAAAGAGTATTATAGTATTAACAAAGATAGAATCTATAGAGACTATATTGGTAGAGTATGAGTTAGAATTAGTAGATAGTTCAGTAGATAAGAGATCTTTAGTATCCCTAGAGGTAATAGTAGTATACCCCCTATATCTATGCCATAATAACTACTATAGCTATAGCAATAGCCTTAATCTATAGAGCTAGCATTAGAGGGATTAAGGGAATAGGCAGATAGGTAATAGTTGCCAAATTTATTATAAAAATGATACTAGATAATACCCTTATCTATATTAGACTATATCCTATAAGATAAGGTATTATTATTAGTAGAATTTATATTATTAGTAGGTTAAGAACCTTAGGTATAACCTTCTATATCTACTATAGCCTCTATAGTTAGTATTATGCCCCCTAAAAATAGAATTTACTGAGAGGGACTAGTAATTATTATTAGAACTCTTAGTAAGTCTATTATTAAATAATCACTAGTATTCAAAGGGTTTAAACTAATTATAAAGCTCTTAGAGGCTTATATAACTCTTCTTATATAGAAGTAATCTAACTAAGGAAAGGTTTAAGGTAAGAAATAGGTTATAAAGCTTATAGAAAGAGATATTACTTAAGCTAGTTATTAATATTCTTAATATTTTTTATTTTAATAATAGTATTATAGAACTTATAAAAGAAGACTTAGTAGTCTAAAGAGTCTATTATAGTATAAGGTATAGCTTCTACTATAGGAGCTGTATAAAGTTAGGGCCTTTATAACTATACTAGTCTTTAAGTATTTAATATACTTAATATATATTCCTGATGCTAAAGATATAGGCTTTAGGTTCTAAATTATATATTATTTCTTAGGCTTATTATTTATAGTTAGATATAATCTTAATATTCTGACTTTTGACTTCTTTTCTAGCTTCTTAAAGATATTATTAATTAACCTACTCTCAGGGGTATTAAGATATTAAATAACTTATTATATAAGATAATTATCTATAGAAGTATAAAGAGGTAGCCTAATAGGAGCTATTATAGTTCTAATGACTATAGGCTAGTTGTTTTAGTTCTTCTAGAGATATATAAGTTTAAGTGTTTCATTCTATTAGTCCTAGTTTAATAAGCTATATAGCTTAGGCATAGCCTTATATATCTTGATATTAAATAATAAAGTTATTAATACTATTATTAATTAAGATATAGAGTCTTTAGGGAAGAATTAGGTTAATTTAGTATAGAGCTAAATATATAGAATCTAGAGATCTAGTCTATTAAGAATAAAGATAATAGCCAGAGGTATATAGGATCTAAAGATCCTAGGGCCACTATAGATAATAAAGATATCTAAATTTTATGTGCCTCTTTTCTAGTAGTATAGAATATTATATAAGATCTAGAGATCTATCTAATCTAGGGAACTAAGTACAACAGGAACTATATAAGATCTAGAGATCTTAGTCCCTAGATAAGAACTTTTATTCCTTTAACTAATAATAAGATACTTAATGAGCAGGAGAAGTAAGAACTTTCTTCCCTTAACTAATAATAAGGTGCTTAATAAGCTTATAAAGGATGACAAGTATCCTAGATACTATAATAATATAGGGCCTAAGATAATACCCTTAATAAGGATAAATATAGTACTTTTTTGATACCTTATTTAAAAAGACATATTTTTAAAAAGATATTAGGTCCTAGGACTAAGTATTAATAATGTTACCTAGAGATAAGCCTATAGATATTATAAGAGGTCCTAAGACCCTAGGTACTATAAAATAAGGTTATTTTAATTTTATAAGAGATCCTAAGACCTATAAAGTAATTTGGCTTATAGTAAACTAGGGTAGGAGTTATCTAGGCTAGCACTAGTATAATAGATTATACTAATAATAATAAGGGAGGGTAAATTTAATATAAAGGCTGGGGCCTAGAAATGCCTATAAAGAGGTTATTTTTAATAAAAAGAAGCTATCTGGGCCATAACCTAATAAAATATAGGAAGGAAGATAATAGTTAGATTTTCTAAAGAACAGAGATTTTCTATTATACAAACAGTAGAAGATATAGGCCCTGAGGCCTTAAGCAAAGGCGCTAGTACAAATTGGGAAGAAGGCGGCAGTTACACAGGCAGTTAAACAAGGTTTCACCTGCAACATGCAGCAGCAACTATTTGCGCACCATAGGGACTATGGTTTTGCATACATGCTAGTTGCACAGTTTTTGGCTCCTTTATAAGCTCACTATAGGCTCCCCTAAGGGCTTCCTTATGTGCCCAAAAGGTCAGGAGCAGTATGTGCACTGTACATACATACAGGTATGAAGTACATGTCTGTTGACAGCTGTTGCCCTGACACATAGAAAGACAGCAAGCTGTTCAGATAGCGAAAAGAAAAGTACATAAAGGCCAAACAAAAACTTGGACCAGAATAGCCAGTGACTGCTCATATTCACATTGAATGTGTCAGATACCCTGATATCACATAGCAGTCTATGGTATGTCAGTATCAGTGCCAAGTTCTAGTGAATTGCTACAGATAGAAAAAAGCAATCAAAAAAATGAAGACGTTTCCAAACACCCCAATAAATATAATCAGAAAATCACAGGAAATTTAAATAGCTAGCAGAAGCCCGGCTCCTGCAATCCCGGCAGCTAGATGCCTTGGAATACTTGTCGGCATAACGGCTGCAGCGTTGCTAGTAGCAGATGCAGGGGCACCAGGGAACACAATGCCAGTTCCTGATGGGCCCCCGATCCTGGCCCCCCCTGCCCCAATTGCAACTGATGTGACTGGGTTGGAAACTGCAGTGGCATCGGGTACAGCGGCCGTGCCTGTTCCGATCTCCAAGATGTTGTCCTTTGTTGAGTTGAAGTTGGTTTTTGCCAACGATATTTCGTTGTTCTCGAGGTCATACACTACGTATGCGCTGCGTAGGAAAGTATCTCCTAAGACTGCGGTACTGTCACCTGCGGGAGCAATGCCAAAAACGCATGCCGCCGTGCCATCGGAAAATGTAAGCCCGGTTCCCGGGTCCAAGACGAGCTCATTGATACCGACTGGAATCGAAGGACCGGAAAACGTGAAGTTTAAGTTGATATCTTGGTTCACCATAGAACATGGGACGTACCCTGTTCCACTTGAGGAATCGTAATTCACTTCCAGGTCATTGTAAATGCTCTGGACCAGCGAATCCGGAAGGTATGTCAGGCTACTTCCAGAGTCGAGGAGTACGGCAGCTGGGAGCGAATCGGATCTGTATGTATTACTGGTCGAGCCATTGCTGAGCGCAAGTCCAGTAAGTGCAATGATGAACTCCACATATTGGCCATTCTCGCGCTGGATAGGCAATGTCGCCAGCTCACCAATGAACTTTTCGGTATTGACTCCGCCGAAAAGAATGGATCCAGTGCTCGCTTCCAAGTCGTTTAACCACAGACTGTATGCGTTGGAGTTGATCAGTCCATTATCAACCATCGCCTTGGGTAGATTTGCATAAGCGGATCCTCCATTTCGATTGACTTGTACTTCATTGGTGGCATATCCAATCCCCAGTACGCCCTCTGCCAGACAAAAGAAGCCATTATCAGATCTGAAATATTGCTACGGACCTTGTGAATTGTACATACCTTGAGAGGTTGACGAATAACCAACGCCGAATTGGAAATTCTTTAGCGTTGCACCGCCAATCGTAAGAGTGTCAGTAACATAGTCACCGGATGCACCGGATCCATCTTCATACGAGATGTTAAAATCCGATGAGACAAACTTGTACGTCGATGAAGAATGGGGGTCATATGTCCCAGACACGTCACAAGGATCGCCTCTGCTTTTACAGAGACGGGAGCTGGCAGCATTGCACCACAAATCACTGCTTCCAGTATCGAGAGTTAAGCGTAGCTTTTGCGGAGGCGTTCCAAGTGTAATGTTACAGAAGTATAGAGTTTCCTGATTGTGTCAGCAAAGGTTCAAGATTACGCAGTGCGGCACATTAAATTCAACCACATCGCTGGGTACAAATGGGCATCTGTCAGGGAATTCATGTTGTAGCCCTACCTCATTATCAAGCGACTGGCTAACCACTTTGTCCCGTTTTCTCCTCAAGCGGTCTCTCCCAGCCGGATCAGACACATGCTTGCGCTGAATATCTAACCCTACGACTGCCGGCACATCTCTCTTGCGAAGCCACAGAGCTTCCCCAGAGGGGAAAATAAGGGAGGCTAGCAACAGGAGTGATGCGCCCCGCATGGCGTGGAACGGAGGAATAGCTAGCTCACTGAGGAAAATCGAGGGTCAGTTCTGGTAAAGACTTGAGGCGACGCCGCAGTGAAGGAGTCAGTGTGACTTTGGAAGCAGTCTGCGAACGTCCGGCCGACTATTGTAGTCTCTATCCACAGGACGAGAATATGGCTGGATGAATTATTATTGGCGTGGATGGCGAGGAAAGATATAAATGACACTGGTCACAAGTATTCCATTTCCCAGGGTAAGGAAGCGCTTACAAGCGCGTCGTCGGGGGGCATCGTCCTTTTTATCGTTTTAAGTACCGAGTACTTTGTACAGTAATGATATCGCAGCGAATCGGTCCATTCGGGGTTAAGCGCTGATCCCCACTTGGCTTCAGAGTCCAAGGATCATCGTCATCGTCATAGGAGCTGTCAGACAGTCGCAGACTCAGCCCCGTGGCTCCGCGTGCCACCGCCCCGATTTCATGCGCTTGTTAGCTGCAAACGGCCTGAACAGCCGGGTCGGTGGCCCGGTAGATCCGCCTTGACGCTTTGAATTCAGTTTAACATTCGACATTCCACCTCCTCCAAAGAAAGGAAAAGAGAGTCATATGTTGATTATTTCATCCTATTCAACAGTCGCTGGTGCATTGGATATGATTACCGTGTGGAGGTTGTTGCGGGATATGCAATATCTATTGCTGCTCCTGTTTGCTGAGGTAATCAAGCCAGTCTACTTAACATGCCATCATTGCTGCCAGTATGAGCCGATTTCATCAATCGCATATAGAATAATATCATGGACTCTTTCCCCTTTAGGTGGCAGTACAACAAATGAATAGTTAGTCTAACTATACAAAATGTGTTAATACACGACCCTGTAAATATCTCACTTGGAGAGTTACAGTCAAACCTTGTGGATTGAATCGTACATAAGGAGTAGCCTACGCCATTGCAAGGAAATTTGTGCGGCTCGACGGCATGATGACGTGGAGGCTGACGAGTTCCCGGAAATAATAATAGAACACGGACGCGTAAACTTAAGAGGGGAAAGGGTTCCATTGTACTCCGTACTACGGAGTACCTGGACGGCCAACCTCATTAACCTGGGTGGGCCCAGATCAGATTTTGGAAAGCACAGGTACTTACTTGAACCCATCTAGCTGTTCTCTGCACAGAGTACCTGGCTATTAAGAGTAGAGGGGCTAGTAATTATGTAGGTTTTGTCGCTATAGAGTATCTCACATATAGTAGATTTCACTCCATTTCCGGTGGTCGGTATTGCAATTTTTGTACAGTACAAGAGGAAGAAGCCTTTATGTAAAAGCAAGAGCTGATTTTCTCATCATATATATCTATCTCTTCATACTTATACTGCGTATTAACTGAGAATTCGTCTGTCCGTACTGTCTTAGTCATTGCCTTTGATCCAGATTCAGTTGCAGTACAACTAGTGTGCCAGTCCTGACAATCCTCATGGGGATGGATATAGGTTATTCTGAATGTAGTACACTTATGCAAATTGGATCAAGCTGTTTCCCAGCTTGCATATAGTTGACATCACTTGGTTATCCACTGTAGGCCATATTACTGCTTTATACTGTGTCATAAATCCTACAGGGTTCTTTTTTTTCCCATTCCCTTTCTTTTTTTTTTCTAAAAAAAAAATCAAATTCCATATGATAGCCGAATGCGAACTTGCCATAAAATCAATAGAGCATGAGGTTTGCACATGATAAAATAAATTTCTATGAGAGTACTATATACTGCTGTAAATCTTTGGGTGTGACTGAGTCTTGAACTCGCAATCACTTCTCATTACATTAGGATATGATGGGCCCAGCTGAGCTCCCCTATGTGATAAATAGACTATAATTGCTATACACATGCCCATATATAGTGTGCATCAGTGGTGCTCTGGCAATAGCACTAGGCATGTGCCACATGGTTCCTGTTATCCAAATACAAATAATTACCTACCTAGGTAGTTATCTGCAAACCTTGTTTTGTCATGTCTCATTCACAGTGATACTAAAACATATTAGGCCAATAACCGCTCCCATTGAGCTTGCTTTTAAAGCCACTAAGGATGAGCCTTATAATCCACTATATCCAAGCAAACCGCTAAAGAGACAGTGGGAGAATACACTACAATTGCTCTGACATTGCCCCTGCAGATGATAGCAATGCCATGTCTACAAAAACGAAGACTGGATATGCTCCATGGACCAACAAAATGGAAGCCATGAGGTTGTATCCCATAATATACATCCACATAGTGATAATATAGTTCAGTCCCAACAGCCTGGTGTTGAGTTTGTTAGGTTCCATGCCAACTGCAGTATAATGGCTACTGTTATAATAACCAGGGTCAAACATGAACATACACACATATAAATAATGTCATGCACAAACATACCTGTGGGGCAGTAATTATGATATATTGAACATAAACACCAAGTTCCTCACCTGCCTCAGCAGCATTAGGGCCCTGGTGCCTAAATGGGCACACTGAATTCTGAGCTCTGCATAGTTTAAACTTGAGTGTTATCTATAAGCCCAAAGCAGACTTCACCGACTGCATAGTAATATTGGCATTCGCGCGGGCCTCTTGGGCTCCTATATCTGCAATCCTATCAATATAGCTGGCGTCCTTTACCATGATGTCAGAGTACTTTTCTCGGATATCCCTCAAATAATCGCTCAATGTTTTGGCGACATGCTCTTTCAGAGCTTTGATACCGGCCGATTTGAATTCCCGGGCTAATTCGTCACAGGATCTCTTCTCAGAGTCAATATGACTCAAGATTTCGATCAGATTCGATACACCCGGTCGACGAATTGGGTCATAGCTGATATCTGGTTCCGAATCTGTGAGTGCCAGTTTTATTTTCTTGTGGATGTCTTCCGGCGAGTCTGTGAGCAGGATTCTGGAGCGTTGTTCGACATCCGATTTGGACATTTTTTGAACTGGATCTTTCAAGGACATTACCCGTCTGGCCGGAGCTGGGTTCGAGACTAAAGGTCAGAGGTCTGCAATATCTAACTTTACACAAGTACACTCACAGATCAGAGCCTGTGGAGCAGGGAAAAGTGGACCGTAAATGTGATTGAAGCTATTCGCGGTATACCGCGTAAATTCAATATGTTGCTTTTGATCATCTCCAACGGGAACATGAGTAGCTCTGCGCAAAAGTTAATCTGAAAGGATTCCGAGAAGGCAGTGGTCCCATACTGACCTGTGTACTAATATATCGGCCGCTTGGAGAACGGGATAAGAAAAAAGCCCCAGCCTCAGCTTGGACTTTGCGCTTGAATGTTCCAGGCTGGTGTGTTCAGGTAATTGAAGCTTACTCTAGAGAAAGTCAATATAAGGACTTCGACCTCTTCAAATGAATTGCGTCATTTTCTTCTTAACTTGTCATTGATATGAGCGACGCACTTTCCACTGAGTCATGCGCGAAAGATAACCCATTGAAGCCACTGTACTCAAAATCCACATTAACTCTGCATGTGCAGGCACCTAAGCAACTTTCAGTGAATGCCGTGAAAAGTAGAGATTTCCAAAATAAGAACAAGGAAGTCGGAGTGCATACTGCAGATTGATAGAAAATAGTAGACCGACTGGGGTCGAGACCTATGGCAAGGAGCGTTGCAAAAGTTTCTTTTCGCCATTGACGGAGACGGGTAGACTCTTGAGGGACTGTCAATGCGTGTAGATCAACAACGGAGAAAAACAATTTGCTTCCCTCGGTTGCAGAGTCCTGTAGTCGTACCCACTCACGTAGTGCTCCCAAGTAATTTCCCAGGTGTGGTATTCCTGTCGGTTGAATACCAGAGAAGATGATACGTTGTGGACTCGAGCTTTTGGTACTTTGGGACGAGCAGAATAACCGCGACTGGAGAGGAAGGAAGACAGCGGCAATTGGTTTGCTGCTAGCGATTCCAGTTTTTTGGCACTGCAGATAGCGTATCAGGGGCTTGAAGGTGTTAGCAATCATCGTGATCGCCGAACGAGAGCCAGGAATAGCCAGAAATAGGTTAGGTAGGTAGACAAAAACATAGCGCCAGAGGAATACTGCAGCAAGCATCACGTGCACATCCGCTACTTTGCTTTTGTGACTGACCTCTTTAGTCTTGAGGCACTTGGAAATCTGCATCCAGTGCCATTGGCATTATCTACAAATTCATCTTAATCTGGAAAGTGTCTGGCGTTAGTGAGGCAGAAGAAGCCCACAAAATGTAGCCAAATTCAAGATTGGATAACTCAGTTGAAACTAGTTACGAAACCAGTATGCTATACGACCTAATTCTTAAAACCAGAAAATGAACATAGAACCAAGCCCATAATAACGCAGCCTTGTAAAATACAATGGAGACAGAAAGGAAAAGGGCTTAAGGCATGAAACTTCGCGACGCTCAATCCTTGCGGACTTGAGTTAGAGGACTTTTACTATTCAAGAACCGTTCGCTCCTCAGAAGCTCGGATATTGACCGCTCTATCTTCGCATCCTTGCGCTGACCGAATTGTGAGAAATAAGGTTCAAGGGTTTTCTCAACATCCTCTGCAGTTGCATCCATTGTCTTGCCAACATCTATCAGATATCAATGGTCAGCGACATGCTGTCATGTATTGGTCAAAATACCAGATGAGAGTTCTTACCGAGACTTTCAAATTCCCAAACATTTGCCTTCATGCCAACACCGTAGAACGCGTGCTTTCTTAGGAATGCAAGCCAAATCTGCACCGTATCAGGATGTCCATCCTTGATCTGTATCAGACGGCGTAATGTTATCCGCTCGAAATTTTCTTGGCTCTTCTTGTGGACAAAATTGCTTCGGATTACAGTCCAGCGTTCAACAATACGTGGTAAAGGGACGGGACCGGATACGGGAAGTTTGAGATAATAGGCTGCACGTATCGCAAAATCGGCGAAGAACTCAAGATTGCGTACACTGTAGGAACGAAGCTGAAGATCGCAGACAGGCAAACCGTATTCTGCCTTTCTACGCAAAGGCCGCAAATAGATCGCCTGAACACTCCTGGGCAAACGAAATTTCTGGCCGACGTCATTCAAGCGTTCCGCCCTATCAATTCAGATCAGTCAAAGAAAAGGCTATCGTATAAATAAATAGGAGTAACTAACCAGGGCTTAACTGGCAAATTTTCCGACTGCGTTGCTTCCGTTTCGCTGGATGCGTGCCCGTCAGTACAGTGTTTTGTCCATTCATATATTGGAGAACCTACCGAAAGGACGGTCTTTGAAGCTGACGAACAGTATGCGGCTGCGGCTCGGCACTAGGAGAAGTTGTCTCTTGGCTGGAAGTTGCAATTGCTCGAGAAGAGATGGAAACCTGAAATCGTCAGCATCCTCAATACAGTGAAGACTCTTCGGGCCCGATACTTTCAACTGTTGTTTCGCCCCCCAAATGGGACGAAAGCACGAGCGCGAGAGCATATTAAGATATAAAATTGATATCTTCAAATTTTCGTTAATTCTATTGTAATTGACTAGGCAGTGTTGGGAATTACTCTGTATTATGCCTTCCGCGGAGGAACCTGGAATTGCAAGGATCAAATTCCAGAAGGTATTTTAACTCACCGCCCTACATTCTGCCGGGCTCAACTGCAACCCGACAACGTACCGGTAGGTATTAGTTCTACCACTAGCCGTACCAGGCGAAATTCACTTCAACCTTGGAATCCATTACAAGCCATTGCGACGATTATCATAGAACAGACAGTTGCATCTCTCCTGCTCGAAAAATTTGCAAATTTCAATATCACCTATCTGATGTCAAGGCCCTCTGGTACAAATCTTCATCTGATTTTCTCTACCCCAACAAACTAGGAGTCCGAAATCTAGAAGACGCCGTTGCTCTGTTTCTCTTGAGTAGGTCCCAATTGGTATTTATGAGAATAAAGACGAAAAAACTGGCTCCTATTTCCTCAGTCTGAGTAATGCTGGATGGCTTGAAAAAGGTATCGTCTTTCCCTTTAACTAAAAAGAGTTACGAGAATCTACATTGCTGAACGTTCACCGATGCATTCCATTCAAATATGAATAGTTCTCCTGGAATTGGACATACTTTATACTGCCTTTGAGGTTCTAAGATTGTCTTTTGCTATCTTAGACAATCACAAAGTTTAAAGGAATTGGCCACAATCCCATCCTTGTGCTCAGTTGTGATTAAAGTTCCGACATTTCTTTCACTTTCTGAACCCCCATTCTCTGCCACCAATTCACTCGCAGTAAGACTTGGTTCTATCTCCGAATACCTGGTGTCATGGCCGATTTACTGCAGAACCGTTCAGTCTATGCACAAGCCGAGGAGGCGGCTCAGTTCCTGAGAAAAGGCCTGGAAGTAGCGCTCCAAAATCCGAAGGTTGCTATCGTTTGTGGCTCTGGGTTAGGAGGTCTTGCAGACACGGTGCATGAGAAGCCACGGGCTGAATATGATTACACGTCCATACCCCATTTCCCACAGTCAACAGGTAAGGTTCTCCTCTAATACCAATTCCTGTCGTCACGAAGTATTGCTTCTTACAAAACTAGTTTCGGGGCATGCGGGGAAGTTGGTTTTTGGGTTTCTCGGGAAAAAGATACCGGTCGTGTTGATGGTTGGTCGAACACAGTAAGCTTCTCTCCACTGTTCTGCCTGGATTCCCGGTAACTGAGAGGTTTCATGAAGTTACTACGAAGGCCACTCTATGGAGCGCATAACTCTTCCGATCCGAGTATTCAAGTTATTAGGCGTCGACGTGGTAATATGTAAGCCAAAACGAGATTTTGATGGAAAGCCTGTCCTTCCTGACCTAAATTCACAGTAACAAATGCAGCTGGTGGATTGAATCCTGAGTATGCTGTGGGCGATATAACACTCCTGAATGATGTATGTATACCGTCATTCCAAAGCGTCCATTAATGTTCTAGTGTGCTTATGAGTCAAAGTAGCATATATTTTTGGCTGGGTTGGCTGGCTTGCATCCTCTGCGGGGACCCAATGAAGAGAAATTTGGAATTCGTTTCCCCCCCTATCAGATGCATATGATTTGGAGCTGCGCCGCTTTGTTCACAAAGCATGGAGAAAACTGAACACACAGGAGACAGGGAGGAGGCTCCACGAAGGGGTTTACGCTTTTGTTTCTGGACCTAGGTGAGCCATAACCCTTGATGAACTTTCTCGACGTTGGATTGACAAGCTGACATTCTTCTAGCTATGAAACGCGGGCTGAATGCCGTATGTTACGGCAACTAGGTGCGGATTTGGTTGGTATGTCAACAGTGCCTGAGATCATCGTAGCAAGACACAGTGGCATGCGAGTGCTTGCACTCAGCCTGGTCACAAATAATGCTGTCCTCTCACCAGTCCCACGTGGAGATGATCATCTTCTTCAGCGGTCAACCCCAAATGATCTCAATGCTATACTGCAAGAAGGGAAGGCGGATCATGAAGAAGTACTAGAAGCTGGACGTCTTGCGGCCGTGGACATGCAGGTGAGTCTGTGGGAACAAGGGTCCGCCCTACCCAAGCAGTGAACGTAATACTGACCTCAATCACAGAGGCTCGTTGGGCAAGTCATTGTGGATATCTTCGAGCCAAGCGAACAGCAGAGTGACATGTAGGCTTTGCTGTTGCCAAAGCGAAGACGAACCTGCTGGGTTCAGATGGCTAGCTGCACTGCCAAGTGCCTGATAGCCCCCTGACCACTTTGAAAAGGTGTACTTAAGGATCGAACAAAGACTTATGGATCAATACCACTTCATATAGTTCCTTTGCGACGCCTTTTTGCTCGGAGGCATTTGTAGTAGGCTTTCTTTCCGCTGGTTTTGGCAGCCTGGATGGCGTTGTACCTTCTTTTGAATTGGCCGGATTCTCGCTCAAGCGCTATTGCCTCCTCGACAAATGTACTCTTCCGGTCCTTCTTGGGGATACGGGCGCTGAAGAATTCAGTAGGGCCCTCAATCACAGTGCCAACCTGAGAAAATTCGGGCGGCTTTGCCTTGCTATCATCCTTTTTGTAATGCCTTTTAGGATCAAGAACTGTACGCATTCGAAGCAACTGTAGGTCTCTTTTCAACTCAGGTGTCAGTTTAGTCTTCGGCAAATCAAACCAATCACCACCGGCACTTTGTTTCTCCTATGAGATTTTCGATGGTTAGTTAAAGACAGCTCAATTATACGCGACCTAAAGGCAAAAACAAGTAATAGCCAAAAGTTCAGAGTAACTATGATAACATATGAAGCTCTCATGAAAGCAGGACAGCCCAGGACGGACTGAATGTACTGCATCGAGTGCACAAGGCAATAGAAATTTTAATCACGACAACGTATTGATTATTAAACTGAATAAAATGGATAAGACTAACCTTGACTTTTGATCGTGATGTTAATGATTCGACAGACCAGGGTTTATCTGACAACTTCTTCTGAGAAGTATCAATAACCCGTGTATTGTCAACAGTGGCGACATCATCTTTCTGGTGGATGTAAGCCTGGAGACCCTGGCTTGAAGGTATTTTAGGAATCCTTTGAGGTTCATGTCAGCGAGACATGAGTAGTCAATGCGCAAAGATAAGGAAAGCGTACGGTCCGCAAGCAGCATTGTTTTTATCCTCTAACGGCGCAAGACTTGACGTATTAGAAGTTGAGGACTCCGACGAACGTAAGCGGGCCTCTGCCTGTAGAAGAAGTTGTTGGATATCATCATCTGTGAGCGTATCTTCTTGAGACACGGTCTCTCTCGAAGACGATGAGTCTAGCATGTCCTAACCCCAATAACGAAAGTTCTTTTAAGATAAAGGGTTGGAAAAAAAAGGCTTTAATTGAGAGCTGGATTGAACTTCTTGCTAGACTTATGAAGGAGAGAATAATAGTAAAAGTTTGTAGGAAGAAATTTTTTTCTCCATGCTCCCTCCGTACGTTGCCAAGCAATGCCATTTTAGCGCGTCTTAAAAAAAAGGACCTCGGGACCTAGAAAGATCCTAGAGAGTGGGGCCTGCGTTCACCGACTGGATAGCTCGGTAGGTACCTAGCCTCATTATTATTATTGAGACATTATTATCACTAGCTAGGTATCTATTTGCTCTGTATACTCCGTACCATATAGGCGCAAGCTCACAGACGAATCAGCTATAGCAGGCTCAATACCAATGTGAATAGTCATTGGTGCCTTTCAAACTATAGTAGGTAGGTACGCAAGCTTTAGGGTTAGTCATACTGACTCGGAGATGGTGTTTATCTACCTACCTAGGTACCTAGCTAAGAACACTGACAAAGATGCCATGCATGTATGGTTCTGCTCCTAAAGAGCAGAGTCATGTTTTGATGTTGCATTTAGTTTAATATCTTGCTCTGCCATGATTGATACATGTACGTACAGCAAAGTACATAGCTACTAGTTGAATCTTTCTGGAATATCACAGATCCAATATTTATAATGGTGCCTATATAATCATCCTCTCATCAACTCCAAGATCTAGTTATCATTCATCAAGTTATCAACATCTAATACCTACCTAGCTAACAGATCTATTAATGAAATAATGATAATAGTGATGGAGAATCCTAAACTTCCAAATACTGCTGTGGCGGACCCCGCTCGGAATGCCGCTAACCTCTTAGGATTAGAGCCATCCCCTCCCACCCGCCTTCTGCAAACGTCACAATCAGCCACTGGCTGACACTTCCATTTCACCTGTCATGTCACATCACGACGCGCCTTTCCATTTGTTGTCATCCATCTATTCTGGTGACAAGCAGTGGCTCAAATTATTCCATTGTCCATCAGAGTCAAATTAATAATACGGGTCTCTTGGGGACCCTGAGCTTTGCGCTATTAGTCCTGTCTATCGACTTCCCGCGACCCTGACTCGAGGGACTTCTATCATTGACAAGCAAATATTTCTTGCACATCTGATTCATCAAAGGAGTGCCTGTCCAAATGGAACAAACTTCCCAGCCTTCTGGACAGCAACAGAACAGGCAGCAGCCTGTCTATGACATCAGGAACGGCGGCCACTATGGTTCGTAGGCTTGGTATCGAGCTTACAGTTTCTCATTCTCTCCATGCTGATACAGTGTGTTTCACAGGTGCTAGCGCGGCGGTACGTTGATTATTCTTCTGTGCATTGGATCTTTTTGGGCAAGAGATCAATGATTGTTGCTCAAATCAAGTATCAAGTTAGGATACTGACAATGTAACACATGGGCAGCTTTCTGCACAAGGATTCGCGCCAGTCCCTGAGTTATATACTGGCACATGGGCAAATGTGAGAATGATCCGAGTAGTTCCAGAATCATTACCACTTACCACCTTCCCATATATAATAAGCTAAATCAACAGTGCATGCCTTGTTATCTAACATTGACCATCGTACAGGTGAATCAAGGCCTCCAGGGCACCTCTCGCGACATACTGACTACGTACTGGCAACACGTCATCAATCACCTTGAATCGGACAATCATGACTATAAAATCCATCAGCTACCCTTGGCGCGCATAAAGAAGGTTATGAAAGCTGATCCAGAGGTGAAAATGATATCTGCAGAGGCTCCAATATTATTCGCAAAAGGCTGCGACATCTTCATCACAGAGCTAACCATGCGCGCGTGGATACATGCTGAAGACAACAAACGGAGGACTCTTCAACGGTCTGACATCGCGGCAGCACTTTCTAAGTCTGACATGTTTGATTTTCTTATTGACATAGTACCGAGGGAGGAGGCTACATCGCACGCAAAGAGATCCGGTCAGGCATCCGGAGCAACAAGCTCAACAGCACCAACTTCCACGGCCCCCGGTGCCGGTCATATTCCGCAGTCTCAATCCGGAGTCCAGCATCCCCAACACCATATGGCCCCGCCTGACTACGGATCGCTTGGACAACATGCTATCCCTCAGGATCAGGAGTATAGGCCCCAGCCGGGTATGTATCCTGGTGCTGTTCAATCCGATCCTGCAGCGTATGGACAACCTCAGCCGCAAATGTTTGAAGGGATGTATGCGGCATACCCTCACCTTCCACCACAGCAGGTAAGTCTTTCCCATAAATTTCTTTAAATAGTATCTTCAATTCCTTTATGTTCTTTAGATTGGTATTTTGCATTGACTGACGGGTTCCGACGGTTTGAGAAGTGATGGTCATTCGAACACTCTGCGTCATCCCCGCATGATTCAGAGGCAGCAAAAATTAACTTTACGGATTACAATGACTTTGGAGCTGGAGCGACTATGGGAGAAGAGGAGAGCTATTAAATCCACTAATAGCCATTACTTTAGTATTACTTCGGGCTTACTAGCCAAGGCAAAAAAAATGACAAATGCTCTGCTTGAGCTACCCGATCCATTGTAATGTACATTCCGTCGTCACTATGGACTTGTGCATCGTTGACCTCAAAGGCCTTATGTATGTAACTACGACTTCATCCCAAATCTTGAAGAGAGCGCTGCAAATTTATCTGTCTTCGATGGGCTTTGTACCGTTCGCGTGAGCCTAGCCAACGGTCAGCCAAGAAGCAAAAGATCAGTTGAGTGCAGCACTCACTTTTCCAGCAAAATGGGACCATTCATAGCGTCAACCCTGCCATACTTCTTATTCCTGATCGAGATGTCGTAAAACTCGTCTGTGTTGTCTGACTGCAGCAAGTTCACTGTTTGCTGCAGCTCATCGAGATTCTCCCGCAAAATTGGTACACCAAGTCCATCAACAAACTTCGTAAGGTATTCAACATCTTTGGCCAATGCTGCGACGCCGTTTGGGTTGATCTTCTTGACATCCGGTGACAGAGGTAATGCCTAAATGAAAAGTCAGAAGGTCAACGATCTCACTTTGAGGACAAATCTTCTCACCAGAATCATATTCGCCGCATGACTAAGGGCGTCAAAATAAATGAGTTCCTTAATCTCTGTCGGGAGACCAAGTAATGTAGAATTCATAATGTTGGAGAGGAACCTGGTTAATGTTTGCATATAATTGCTCGGCTCGGTTGGCTCTGAAGCGGCCATCCAGTCATATTCTGCCGTCTCAATCAGATCATCAATCTTTGAATTGACCACTTCAAAGATACGCTTCTCTGCAGCTTTCTTGTTATTTCTGAACTTTGCCGTAGCATTGAGAGAAACTGGGCCGACTGTCGAATTCTGTGATCGCGCCGCAGCAAGAAGAACTTCGAGTTCCTTGCAAGCCATCTCAAAGTGTTCTAAGTTTATCAGTATCTGAACAATCTGTCCGAGATACTGAGAGCTGAGACGCTCAACTAGAGTCTCACAAACTTCGTTGGAAAGAAGGTCATCTAATGCCTAGATTCAGTTAGCCTGGGCGATTTACTTAGTCTCTTCTCATCCTACCGTTTTGAGAGTCTCATCGATCACATCGGGGTGAGGAAAATCATCATTAGAAAAGAAATAGAACTGATTCAAGAAGTTACGTATGTCAATACAGCATAGCGGGTACATCTGCGAGAACGGTAGTACACAGGGAAAACTGGAGATACATTAGTCTCAAAAAGAAAAAGGGGAAAAAAAAGTCCGTTGGCGCATGTGGACTTACACTTGCTCTTCTCGCGGCTTTTCTGGAGTATACCAGCTCACGTTGATGACTTTGTCAAACTCCTCCAGATTCTGGATTGGCATAGGCATGTAATCATCTGTCGATACAATCTAAAGATACGTCAGTCCGTATACTCAAAAATCGGGGGCTCTCTTCTGCTAACTTCTTGAAAATCATCACTGAATCGTTTCTTCAACAGCTCTGCATATTTTCCAAACAAGGTCAACAGAAAATTGTCAAAGACTCCGACAGGAAACCCCCACGTCTATGTGTGATGTGAGCCATCGAGCTGGATAACCGGTTCATTGGTGGGGGCTACATACGTCCATGGCTTGCATAAATAGTGCAATAAGATTTTTGATCTTGAGAAGACTTTCGGCATTATCGACTTCATGGAGAGCATCTGAAATCAGACCGACGGCTGTATGGCACATAGAATCCCAGAGTTCCTCGACCTAGTGAGAGCTCAGGTGTGAGCATAGCCTTCAAGAGACAAGATCAAATCCCATTGTCACATACATCGACAGGCGACCTGAGATCTGGAACCCTTTTCATTGTCGACCTTTCCACGATGGCAAAACCGGTCATTTCCTCTAGCAGCGTGTGCAGACTAGCGCCATCTTCATCGACCAGGGTTATCGATGTCGGAAGTAAGAGGTCCTTTTGTCGTCGTCTTGTTGTCGCATATTCAGCTCTGAATTTGTCCATCTGACCTAGGGACTGGTGGATATGTAAACACTCAAACAAAGGGGTGAAATCCACCTGCAGATCATCATTTTGAAGCAGGTCGTACTCCTCATGTTCATCGGAAACCAGTTCAATCGCCGAGTTGAGCTTGAATTGACTCAGGTAAGGAATCTTCTCAGCTTTTTCTTTCAGTCGAGTCTTCCTAAGATCGGTGTGATAGAGTGCTATCTCTCCCAAATATTGTGACATTTCACGAATACGATACAGCCAGGTATTTAAATCCGACATAACGGCTTCGGCAATAGCTCTCTGAGTAGCAGGAACAGAACGCTGTATCATCTCAGCAATCTTGTACTGGGTAATTTCCTTAAGGTGAACATTCTGTAATTCATCGAGGGCTCGAAGTGCAGCGTAATGGTTCTTCTTGCCTAGGAGATCGTGAACGTGATTCGAGAGACGCAACACTTCAAGACAATCTTGAAGAGCACGAAAAGTCTCATCGATATTCTGTCGATGACTTCTCGACTCGACAAGAGCCTTTTTCTGTTCCGCCAGTCTCTCTGTACTTGCCTGAATGGATTGATTCAGGTCCAAGATCTCCGATGTCAAACTGACGGTGCCTTCGCGAATACGGAGAAGCTGGTTGACAGATGTGACGAACTCTTGATGATTCGTGTTACATATGTTCTCTATCTCAGCTTCCTTCTCACTTGCAAATCTGGATAAGGACTGTAGAAGTTGCGAAGTACGATTTCCATAGCTGTATTCTCGGATCGACGGTATTAGCTGGTCAAGATAATCTGAATCAGAAGGTGACATGATGATCTGGGTTAACCTATTGTTAGAAAGGCTTGAATTAGTCCTGATAAGTGCAGATAATCTCACCTGATTCAGAACATTGGAAGGGTCACTGCGAGGTGGAATCGCAGAAGGCATTTTTGACGTTTTTGTTAATCATTCCAAACTGACAAAAAAAGATTTTTTAATAGTGCAAGGATGGATGTTGGTAATTTGTTTTGCTTGTTCCTTGTATAGCAGAGTGAAGCAGTTAACAGATCCAAGGCACAGATTCTTCACTAGTGTTGGTGGCGGGAGATCGTGCGTTCCATACTCTGTATGAGAGATACCTCCTCTAGCTTGTATGATTTAATAGTATTAAATATCTGACAGGCATGTATACTAAGATAGCTCTGAATAATTAGATAAGATACCCTAGAGACTAAGGCAGGGTTCAATTGTAGACAAAATTGTTTTGAATAGTTAGCTTACAAGAATGAGGTGTATCTACAGACTACAGTATCTATCTCTGTATTATAATGGAAATACTCTGTAATGGTCTGTTGGCCAAAACTTGCTTAATAAGCCATTTCCGTGTTTGTGGTCGGTCAGATCCGCTTATACGGAGTACCCGTCCACTCTGTATTAGGTACTTTTGACAATTGACACCACACAGAATCTGCCTGCCTCCGCTGCCTTAGGTATCTAATCTCTGCCTACGAAGTACATTTTTGCCATGGGTTTGCACTGGCTCACCTGCTTTTATATATAGGCCTACATTTCAGGCTTGAGGTGGGCCGAAGGTCCGGAAGTCTATATATAAGCCTATAGTTTATGTAAGAATATGGCTTATAATAATAAGGAACCTCTATATAATAGGGGGTTTATGTAGAAAATAAAAGTGGTATAAGCATTAGTAAGCTTAGGCATCCTTTCACCTTCAAGCAGACAAGCAGGGAGAGTCGTTTAAGGGTCATAAACTTCATATATTTACTGTATATATTATACAGAGTACATCTATAAAGGCTAAGTAAGGTACAGTACATACCTTAGTGTTTGAACTATTCCTATTATTCCGGAGCCAAACATACCCCCTTAGATTCTGTATGGAGTATTACTCTGTACTCCATACTTAAAACTACATCATGAATGAAGCCCCTGGTTAGAATTTCTATTGCCATCTCATCAAATTGGAATCTACAGACATTAAAAATATAGTGGGCTTCTTTAATGAAGCTCCAAATGATGTCATGGTTAAAAACATATGGGTCTGAGTCATGGGTAATCAGCTGTCCTCTGTCTCCCTATCATCAGGTATCATCAGGTATACTATAAAATCCATTTTATACACACTGTCACATGACATATAATGATTAGGTAAGCATACCATACCAAAATTAAAGGCTCTCGGCGTAAGGCTGCCGAGAGCTCAGTGGGGAAATAGATGAAGTCTATCTAGGCATAGAAGATCAATATATTATTGCTCCCTCTGGGGAAGAAAAAGAAGAACTGACTAGGAGCCGGCGTTGAGGTCGGCTCTAAATCTGCGTGGCCGGTTTGGCGGTCACGTGGTAACTGACAGCTGATTGGTCAGACCTGGCAGCTGCCTGAATGCCGTATGGGTCAGGCACCAACACACCCCCCTCACGCGCCAGGGCTGGCCAACAAATTCTACATACATGAAGTCCTTTCCAAAGGTAT